GAGAGAGAGAGAGAGAGAGAGAGAGAGAGAGAGAGAGAGAGAGAGAGATTTGCATGGCCGCTGTCGATGTATAGGCTCGATCTTGCAAAGGAAAAAAAAAAAAAAAATCGCCGTCCAATGTCGATCGTTAGGGTCGACCTTTAAAGAAAAATAAAAATTAGAGAGAGAGAGAGAGAGAGAGAGAGAGAGAGAGAGAGAGAGAGAGAGAGAGAGAGAGAGAGAGAGCACCAACCTTGTGTGGTGTGAAGACCGCCCGTTGTCCTGCTGCCCGCTGGGTCGCTGTTCCCGGCAGCTGATATGTTCTGACGTGGTACTGAAAAGTCCCAATGTGCTTTATCTCTTCTGCTCCTTTTCTTTTTTTTTCGCTCCCTTCGAATTTTGTCTTGCCAGCGAAGCTGGAATGGGTCATCCATCTAGTTGTTTTGGGAATCCTCCTTGTTCTTCTTGTCTAATTTACTGCCTGTGGACTCGTTCAAATGTATGTCGGCATGCGCGCTGCTGCAAACAAGGCGACCTGTGATGGACCGAGCATCGAAAGCAGCCTGGGACATCATATTGTCAGAGCAAGGAATCGGCAAAGAGATCGAGCAGGAAGTGCGGAACATTTATTCTGCCTTGAGTGGTTCACAGGAGAAGGAACAGCAGCCAGACGGAGGCGGCGAGCAGTCCGGCCAACAGCCGACTACTGGGCAAGCGACGATCCCGGCAACAGCGACGATCCCGGCAACAGCGACGATCCCGGCACCCGATGCAGCAACAGCAATGCCTGCAACCCCAGTGACGGCAATGAAAACCACAGCACTGCCATCGACGCCAGCCACCATGGCAATGCCAGGAGTCGTCGTAACCCCAACGACTCCGGCGGTTCCAGCAACGACTCCAGGAACGGTTCCGCCGACCCCTGCACCGGCTGCAACGCCAGCAAGGGCAACGGTACCCGCGACAACTCCAGGAACTGCAGCAACCCCGGTAGCTCCGCCAATTACGGCGGGCCCAGAAGCAACAGGCCTGGGAACAACCCCAGGATCCCCAACTGCAATTCCAGCAGCAGCCCCGGGAACAACAGAAGTCGCTGGAACGGCAGAAGGGCCAGCAACGACACAAGGCGATGGAATGACAGAAGACCCTGGAATGACAGAACGGCCCGGAACGACAACAGAAGCGCCAGTCACAGTTCCAGCAGAAGCCCCAGGCACCACAGCGGACCCAGCTGCAGTTGCAGAAACAACCCCTGAAACAACAGCAGACCCAGCCACAGATATACCAGCGGTGGCAACAACAGTACCGATGTCGACGGTGGAGCCAGAAGCGGCGACATTCTCAGAGCCAACGCCACAGCCAGCCCCACTACCCCCTCAACCCACAGCTTCTGAGGGGTCTGATGAAAAGAGCAATCAGGGTGCAGAACCAGTCACGGAGACTCTTCCTGAGCACGAATCCCCTGCGCCGACACCGACAAGCGAAAGCACCCTTCCCCAGCTGGAAGAGTTGGCGCCTAGTGTGGAACCGATGGATGAAGACATGGCAACAACATCAGCAGCTTCTCTTGATAATGAGGGCAAGGATAGCTGAGTGATGTTCTTATTACTTCCTGACATATATGAGTATATATGGCTAAGCCCATATTTCCGTGCCCTCCGAACCGTGCGAAATAGTTGCCGACATATGTGGGTATATATGGCTAAGCCCGTAGATGGTGTATATGGGCAAGCTACGAAGCTCAGTGCAGTCTATGTGTAAGTGTACAATCGCCCCATTTGATTTGACAAATCGATAGGTACAAGAGTACCCCCCCCAATGACTTGACAGGGGGGGGGGGTTACATCGCGAGTCGATCTCTGACGAGAAGCGCAGCCTTGGGACAATGTGCCCCACTGGGAATGTCTTCATCTCCATGGTCTAGCGACGAAGTTGACGCCTTTCTTGACGTTTTTTCTTTTCTATTGCCTTCAGAGCTATCTCAACAAAGATCCGCCACATCACTGTCAGCTTTTTCACATCTGGCTGATCGTAGGGATGGGCGCAGCTGCTGTGCTAGGCGTCACAACGTTCAGAGCAGTTGTGTCTCAGCCAAGCTTTCATTTGGGCTACACGCGTGTCGACGTCCACTGGTCCCTCTCCCACCAAATGAAAGCTTGGTTGAGACGACTGCTCTGACCGTGACAACTAACACGGCAGGTGCACCCATCCCTGCTTTTAGCCAGATGTGAAAAAGCTGACAGTGATGTTGTGGATCTTTCTTTGTGAAGGCAGCTCTGACGGGAATAGGATGAAGGCAGCTCTGACGGCAATAGGACGAAGGCAGCTCTGACGGCAATAGGACGAAGGCAGCTCTGATGGCAATAGGACGAAGGCAGCAACTGTTTTTCAGACAATGGAGATGAAGAGGTTAGCAGCGGCACATTGTCCGAGTGTATATGAGAGAGGAGACATGAAAAGCCCCCTTGCCCCCCCCCCCCTCTCCCTTACAGTGGTTTGGGCTGTACAGAGGAGATGTTCTGGAGTAACGAAATGCAGAGAGAAGATTTTCAGTGAACAGTGCGAGCAGGTTTGTGGCTGTGCCTGCGATGTAGAAGGAGAGGAGATTTGAGGGAGATTCACGAAGGGGCAGCTTGTGGTAACAAAAAGAGGGGGAGATTCGAGGGCATGACTGCAGAATGGAGCTTGTCACTAGGATATGAGGAAAAGGCACTTGCATCATTATGTGTGGAAGAGGACATGGTGGTGGTGATGGAGAAGGTGTCAGTATGCAGTCAGAGTTCTTGGTTTTGAGGGAACTGTTTCCCTGGATGAACGGAATGTGACATTAGTGGAGGGGGAGGAGGACTTGTGAGCATACTTTTCTTGTTGTTTCTTTACTCCTCTCTCTCTCTCTCTCTCTCTCTCTCTCTCTCTCTCTCTCTCTCTCTCTCTCTCTCTCTC